TGGCTGTTTTAAGACAACTTATGTATAAATTTATTTGTCGTCTGAATGAGTCTAACAATAGAATTATTTTGCTGTTGACCAATGTCAAATATAGTGCAGTGAAATATTCTTCTGCACTTTGGAGACACTGGTATGACTGTCTCCTGCATGGTTAGGAACCTTTTTATCTGTATATTTTTAAATTTTTATTTTATTTTATTTTATTTTATTTTATTTTTATTTTTTTTTAATTTTTTTTTCTGTATTTATCTGTGATGTTGGATGGACTTTGAGTCTGTAATAAAGTAATATCATATTACAGTGCTCCTGCTTTTTACTTGTTTACAGATACACAGATTGATCTAAGTCTGTGTAAACACAGTGATTGTACTTTACAGCAGTAATAATGAAGGATCAGGTGACAGTGCTCTGCCCACAGCTGCAGCTTGTTCTCATCTGATGTTTTTGTTTTTAGGTGAACTTTGCCTTACATTCAGCACCGTAACTGGTTTTACAGCCACATTATCAGAAGTGCCTCTTTAAAATGTCAGCATGGCAGGATGTTCGTGGGCTGAGGCCAGCACGCCTAGACCCACGTCTACGCCAGCTCAGGGTGAAGTCGTGTAGAAGAAGTAGGGTCAGGTTTTAAAACAATATCCCAAGATTTAAATATCTCACAGGGCTCTGGTCAGTTCATCATCTGAAAACAGAACGAGTCCGACTCAACATGAACCAGACCAAATCATGGTTGTCCAGCTAACACAGCAGCAGCCATGACGCTCCATGGTACCTCTTGAGGAGCTGCAGAGAGCCACAGCTCAGGAGGGACAACCTGTCCTCTGGACAACAGTTATAGTCAAGATCCACTAATCGGGTCTTCATGGAGGAGCAGCAAGATGGAAACCAGAAGGAGTCCAGTTTACAGTTTGACCCAGGTCATGCAGGGACACAGGTCTGCTCGGATCAGACCAAACGAACCCTGAAAACAGCGTCCTCACAGTCAAGCATGGTGGTGGCAGCATCATGCTGTGGGGACGCTTTTCTTCAGCAGAGACAGGGAAGCTGCTCAGAGTTGATGGAAGATGGATGGAGGTAAAAACAGGAAGTCCTGGAAGAAAAGCTGCAAACATGGAGCGTGAGACAGAAGTTCACCTTCCAGCAGAACATGCCCAAACATCCAGCCAGAACCACAAGGACCGGGTTGGACCAGAACGTGCTCATGTGTTAGAATGACCCAGTTAAAGTCCAGACCTAAATCTGACTCACAATCTAAGACCTGAAAACTGCTGAGCCGTCCAATCTGACTGAGTCTTCAGCAGTTCTCCAAAGTACTGACTCATTTGGGTTGATTAAAAATGGACACCAGGTTTTTTTTTTACATTTTTATTTACAAAAGTAAAAATAAAACCGTGTATCGTTTTTCTTCCTCTTCACATTTAGGCTCTAGTTTGAGTTGGACAGACATAAAATCCCAGTAAAAACATGAAGCTTGTAGCTGTAGCTGCATTAAATGTGGACAAGTTCACGGGAGATGAAAACATTTTCAAGGTGCTGAAAGTCTAGTACAAAACTGGAACACAAGTAAAAAATACTTACTTGTTGGAGTAAAGATAATTTGTTAATAACACATAACACCCTTAGGTGCTTTCCAGCCTCACGCTGGTCCAGACCGGCCACCGTCTCACGTCCTGTGTGTGGTCTTCATGAACAGGATGTTTTGGAGAGGAGGGGGTCTGGTCTGTGAACGTCAGGTTTTCATTTGTTTCTGCAGACAATGTGGTTCTGTTGGCTTCTTCACATCATGACCTGCAGCATGAACTGGGGCGGCCCAGTATGAAGCAGGTCTGAGACCAGGTTCTTAACCCGAGAAACAGTTTTAATGCAAGAACTGGACTTTGGTCCCTTTAGGGACTTGATTATAGCAGAAAAGGTCCTGATGGGTCCAAAAAGTGTTTCTAAATCACACTCAGTCATACATGACTTTATCTTTTGTATTTGAGCCTTTTGTACCAGTCAGCCATAACATTATGACCACTGAAGAGTAAGGTTTTGTACAATGTTTTGATGGAAAACCTGAGAATTTGAGTTGATGGTGCTTCAGCTGCGTCTGACATCAGGCACTGACGGAGAACAACACAAATGAAAGGTGTGTATAAAGTTGTGCACATTTTGTGGGACTTGTTTACACAAATGTAATGTGTATTCAGAAAGTGAAACTGTGTGGGACCGTTCAGTCCTGCTGAGTCAGTAAACTTGGCTGGGAGACAGTTTGGTAGAGCCTCTGAGTTGAACCGTTTTGTTTAAAATGTTTTAAATGGTAAATGGACTGTACTTATATAGCGCCTTTCTATCTTATTTCAAGACACTCAAAGCTCTTTACAACAATCTGTGTCCTCATTTACCCGTTCATACAGCTCTATACTAGATCTCTACAAAGTTAATTGAACAAATCATTCTAAAGAGACTAATCAGAGCTTTATCACATTCATACACTGATGGGACACACATCAGAGGCAGTGAGGGGTTCAGTGTCTTGCCCAGGGACACTTCGGCATGCGGCTGCTGGTGGATTTGAACCCCCAACTCTTGCACTGGAGGACGACTGCTCTAACCACTCAGACACAGCCGCCCAGGAACTTTTGATTTAACCAGAAATGTCCGGTAGTTTTCAGCTGAAGTTTGTGGTTTTACTCAATATCTTTTATTTTACAGTCGTCCAAGGGTTGTAAAACTTTAGTTTCCCCACAAAACTCTGAGGTAATGTCCCAAACATTCTCCACCTTCTACCTCTTATCTGTAGTAGAGTTGTGGAGGCAGCAGGTCCAAGAGAAACCCAGAACCCCGTCTCCCCAGAGACTCTCTCCAGCTCCTCTTGGGAGACTCTGCCCCAGACCAGAGAAGATGCACCATCTCTCCAGAGAGTTCTGGGTCTGACCTGGGGCCTCTTTCCAGTGGGACGTGCCCAGAAAAACCTCCAAAGGGAGAGAGGCATCCCGACCTCCTCAGCTCTCGTTTAGATGAAGCCCATTTTGGTCACTTGTATCCAAACTTTCATCCTTTCGGTCATGATCCAAACCTCATGACCACAGGTGAGGGTCAGAACATAGAGATCAGTAAATCAAGAGCTTTGCCTTTCCACTTAACCCTTTCTTCACCATGACAGACCGAAGCAACACCCTCATTACTGAGGACGAAACTCCAATTATTCGATCGATTTCCCGCTCCATCCTACGGTCACTCATGAACAAGACACCAAGATACTTAAAGCCCCCCCAATGATCCGGAGGGGCATCCCATGTGTCTCTGGTTGAGAACTATGTCTGCAGACAGAAGAACGGACTCATTCCAGCCTCACTCAGCAGCAAACTGCCCCAGTGCTCGCTGAAGATCTTGGCCTGAAGATGCCAACAGAACCACATCATCTGCATAAAACAGCAACGACACCCTGAGGTTCCCACACCAGACACCCTCCTCTCCACGACTGCACCTCGAGATCCCGTCCATGAACAACAGGATCAGAGAGGAGGGACAGTCCTGGTGGAGTCCGACCTGCACCGAGAACGAGCTCCACTTTGTTCCAAATCATGCAAGGTTTCGTTTTGCAATGGTTCTAAAACTGTGGTACAAGTACTGCAGGTGGTATTCATGGTTCCATTTATTAGTACTTGGAAAAGGTTTGGTGTCAACTATTTACAAAAGAAATACACTAATAAACTGTCAGTAGCTGAACTTTGATGCAAAGCTGAAAAGGCCAAAAAATTGCTGAAGCAAATTATAATCTCGGCTCCAAATGGAAATTACTCAAATGAAAATACAACGGAATATTTTGAGCAGCTCCAGAATCGAAGGGGTGATGGAGACCCAGTGTTGTTGAGGGTTTAGTCAAGTTTCTACAGGAGCTCAGGAAAAAAAGGCAAAACAAGAATATTTGATTGAAGGTGTGTCTTTCTGTATGTGGTGCTCCTAAGGGCTGAGGTTTCATGATTGGAATGATCATAAACTGGTCCTGATGTTTTCTTTAATCTTTGTTGGATTAGAACTAGTGGAGCTGCCACAGCCATCATGAATCTGGGGGTGGACTCAAACAATGAACTGGTTTCTCATGAGCATGTTGTCTCTCCAGTGTTTCCCAGCGCTCTGATCTATGATGGTTTCTGTTGCCTGTAAACAAACGGGCCTGTCTTTTTAAAAATAAACACCATAAAACACAACAGTGGTCATCACTGCTAGCAATAACACAGTACACCAACAGGACGGGATAAATGCCACGCTGTGACAAGACATTAAACAAACCACTAGTTATCTAGAAAGTAATAAAATAAAAACATTTATACTCTTAAATGGTTTTGTTGTAACACAAACCAACAGCGACATCTTGTGATCAGTTATTTAGCAACACTTAGCAACTTTAAATAAAATACTGAACAGATTTTAAAATTAAAATATTAATCTCCATCTTAGATTAAAAATCTCATTTCCCTAACAGAGCACTTTGTTCTCAGACTGCAGGTTTACTTGTGGTTCCTTGAGTTTCTAAAAGCAGAAGGGGGGGGGGGGGGGGGGCAGCTTTCAGTTCATGAGGCTGACAGTTTTACTTTAAGGACTAGACTGGACTGCCATTTTTGATAAATCCTATAGTTATAGCAGGACTGGGTTTCCTGAGTTATCCCTTAGTTCTGCTGCTATAGGCTGATTGCTGGAGGACAAACTGACCAAACTTCTCTCATTTGTCCCACTCTGGGCCCTTAACCCCCGCCATCCGCTCCCAAACAGGTCTCTCTTGAAAAAGAGTCCTCGTGACTCAGTGACACTACCTGTATAAATAAATGTTTCTCTTCCCAATGAAACCACCTGGACCAGTCCTCCCACCCTGGGCTCGGTCTACTACCTGGTTTTTCCACAATGAACTGTTTGTAGTGTCCTGACTGTAACTGAATCCAACAAGACAAGTTTGATTGTGTTGACACGACTTGTGAAGCGGCAATAAATAAAACTTAAAGCACAACATTTTAAACACTCCATTAACATAACTTAAGACGTTTTTTTATTTTAAAACATTCGGAGGGAATACAAATAAATCTATATCATCCGATACAAAATGAGGAGAAAACGGATCATTTAAAACGTCTGATTATGCTCCTGTAAAGCACGTTTTTAAAAAAAGGGTTTGCATTGTAATTACTGAAGATAAGCAAATAAAATACGTCCAAAGAACTGAGCAGGAAACCGTAAAAACTAATGTAGAAGTGATTCACCTGAATCCCTGATCAGTTTACGTCACACTTGTCTAAAAACTGGAAGTGTGGAAATCTACAAACATCAAGGATAATGCCTGGAAACACCTCTTCTCACACCGCATCTTCAGTTAAGCGCTTTTTTCAAGAACAGGTCGATGTAGAATGAAACAAGTCAGGTGGCCCTGTGTTAGCGCTTCCACCTAACGCTGCACCACCGTACACTTCAGCTACAGTCCAAGTCCTCAGTCCTTCACTCCATACTGTCCGGGTCCGCCTGGGCCATGTAGGCGTCCAGCTCTGCGTCCAAGTGTCCCTTGGTCTTTGACATGTAGGCGTCTAATTGATTGTCCAGTTGCTCACGAGTAACGGCTGGCCGACCCACTGATCTGCCCCGCCCACGGCCGCGACCCCCTCGACCAGCAAAACCTCCACGTCCACGCAGTCCACCACGGCCTGTCCAGGAAAAACCAAGAGTGTGAGATGAGAAGTAAAGGCTTTAAGAGCCGAGTCACAACAACTACATTAATTAAAAGAGCCAACCTCTGCCTCTAGGAATCCCTCCTCGACCGCCTCCTCGAGACATAGGTCCACCTCTTCCAGCCGGTCCTCCGCGGAACCTGCCTCCTCTACGCATTGGGAGGCGACCAGCAAAGCCTCGACCTCGCATGAGTCCACCTGTAGGCATTCTTCTTCCTGCCGGAAACATTCCAACACATCAGAGAAGAAAAACCACCGACAGTGAAATCCTGAGTTCTGTCCACACGGGAACGGTTTCTCTCAAAACAACCTCAAGAGTTTGTTGTTTCTCAACATTCTAGTAATATGCAGCACCATCTTTACAAATGTTTTCACCCACACTGAAACAGACCGCCGTAGTAACTGGACTGACATGGTTTTTAAAAAGCTGTGTTCTAGACTGTACACAGAAACACAAAGGTGGGGTTTTAAGATTTTTTCCCCAACTCGGGAAGGCATTTTCAAAAAAATACCACCAATGGACTCCTGAAATGTCATTTTCATGTGGACGCAGGGCTGAAACAATAAAACTTTGATGAAAGAATCCTCACACACCCCTCAGAGAAGACAAAGCTCCTCGAACGATTCCTCCTCTGAAGCCTCCCCTGGTCATCCCCCTCATCCCTCCTCTGGCCCCTGCAGGTCCTCCTCGCAGCAGAGCTCCGACAGGCCGGCCCAGCCTGGCCTGGATGCTGCTCTTCCCCAGGCGCTGCTTCAGGCTCTGCCACACGTCATAACAAAACAGGAACTCAGCAACAAAGACCACGACACACAGGAAGATTTAATAAACACGCTTTAGATGAGGGACAGTGTTGTAAATGTTTTGGGAAAAACTTGTGATGTTTGTTGACACTTCTAGTGTTGAGGATGACTCTCAGCTACCACCACACCAAACTGAATTCCCTGTGTGTAAAACTGAGTTACAGCCATTTTCTGTTGGCTAATGTCAAATGGCTGCTGTGGCCAAATTGAATTGAGCTGTCACATGTATAATAATAATAATAATAATAACAGTAATAATAATAATGTGTTTGTATTGTCATCATTGTATGTTTCTATACAATGGCAAAATAATATCAGTGCATTTAACCCATCCACCACCAGGTGGAGCTGTGGGCAGCTATTGAAAGCAGTGGGGAGCAAGTTGATGCTCAGAGACACCATGAGATGAGCAATGACTGGGGATGGAACCTGGAACTTTCAGGTCCCGAGTCGGCTGCCCTGCCTCTACACCAACTCGGCCCCATGTAGAGCACATCCAACGATAATAGAGTTTCATTCAAATTCATACTGGAACAAAAATATTTATTTAAAGTCCAACAATGTTCAGTCAGGTCATCTGGACGGTTTATTTTGTAGACGAGATGTTTTGTTCTTCATCTGAAGGATTTCTTCAATCTGAGGAGCCACCAAACTAAACTGAATCCCTCAAACGGCTCACTCCCAGAGTGGGAAAAACAACAACCCAGTTTGCTGGTGATGAGATGGCCGCAGGGCTCGCCTTCTCCCCCGTCAACTCCTCTAAGGCAGACATGCCAAAATAGTTCAAAACACCAAAGCTCATGCTCATTAATCCAGTTTATTTAGTGGCTCCTCTGATTGAGTAAGTCCTTCGGATGAAAGACGAAACATGGTAAATGGACTGTATTTATACAGCACCTTTCTGTTATTTCAAGATACTCAAAGCACTTTACAATCTGTGTCTCATTTACCCATTCATACAGCTCTATACTAGATCACTACAAAGCTAATTGAACAAATCATTCTAATGAGACTAATCAGTGTTTTATCACGTTCATACACTGATGGGACACAGAGGCAACGAGGGGTTCAGTGTCTTGCCCAGGGACACTTCGACAAGTGACTGCTGGTGGATTCGAACCCCCAACTCTCGCATTGAAGGACGACTGTTCTAACCACTCAGCCACAGCCGCCCCGAGAAACGTCTCTCCAAGAAAATAAACCGTCCAGATGACCTGACTGAACATTGTTGGATTCATACCTGGATTAATGAGCATGAACTTTGGGGAATTATTTAACGTTTTATCAGGAGGAGAATGTCAGCTGTTACTCTATAGAGCTCGATAACAGGTGGAGAAGTTGAAGCTACGATGTCATCAGAGGGAAGAGAGGTTTGGACGGATCGTGTGATATGTGAGCGAAAAGTCCGACAAACACTCTCTCCAGAATGTAGTTTGGTTCTGGAGTCCAGGGTCTGAGTTCATAGTCAAAACCACAGGCGTGAGTCATTCACAGAGGCAAGAAAAGCAAAACTCATCCAAGGGGTTTAGTTGGAATTGGTGGTCTGAAGGCAGAGCAGACGTCGAGGTCCAGATACCTGAAGGGCAGAAGAATCCTTCTTGGGCAAGACAAAGAGGGGGGACCCGTGTTATGAAGTGGGTCAGGAACAGAGCAGGAACAATAATGCTGGATACTTCAGACACGAGGCGATAAGACAATCTGGCAGAGACTGGGGAGTGCTTTAAGAAGCGCAGCGCACATAAAAAAAAAAGTGCAGCGCACAGGTGCAGGGAGAATCTCCATCCTGCTGCAGGAGGGAGAATCTGAGCACAGGCGCAGCAGGAGTTGGGGGAGGACTGGCCATTGGGAGCACTGGGACATTTCCAGGTGGCCTGACCCGTTCGATGAGCGGGACTAAAGGCTTGGTTCGAGTCGCGCTAGATTATTTTAAATAAACAATCCATGTTGCTCATGCGGCATGGATTGTTTATTTAAAATAATATAGTATTTAAATTTAAATTAATTATTTGCACCTGTCTTCCATGCAAGTGCATGGAAGACAGGTGTAGAAGGAGGGAGAGTGGAAGTGACACAGGCCATGAGCATGAGTGTGATTGTGGCAAAGTGGACGTGGCAGAAAAAATATATACATATACACACTAAAATAAATATAGCATTCCTACTTTGTGGCGTTTCACTTATTGTGGGGGTGTCTGGAACGTTACCCCTGCAATAAATGAGGGACTACTGTCCTCTCTAAATGCATCCATGCATCTCCTCTTTTGTTTTTCCTGGCAGCTGCATTTCTAACATCCTTCTACCAATATACCCACTGTCCCTCCTCTGGACATGTCCAAACCACTGTCCCTCCTCTGGACATGTCCAAACCATTTCAGTCTGGTCTCTCTAACTTTATCTCCCAGTTGTTCAACCTGTGCTGTACCTCTGATGATCTCATTCATAATCTTATCCATCCTTGTCACTCCTAAAAAAACTAAACATCTTCATTTCTGCCACTTCCAGTTCTGTCTCCTGTCTTTTTGTCCATGTCCCTGTCTCCAAACCACACAACATAGCTGGTCTCACCACTGTCTTGTAGTAAACTTTTTGTCTCAAATCACTCCTGAAACTTTTCTCCATCCTGCCTGGACTCTCTTGTCACCTCTTTACCACACTCAACATTTTCCTGGACAATGGACCCCAAGTGCACCTTTGTGACCTCTGCTCCTTGCAGCCTCACTCATGTACTCTGTCTTATGCTTTAAGGTTGCCTTTACTAAGAAACATAACCTAGACTCAGGAATCATAGCCAACTATATCTATATCTATATGGATCTATATCTAATCTAACTTTCATCTCAAAAATTCTAGAGAAAATAGTTCCACGTCAGTTGCGTGAACATCTACAAAGAAATAATCTGAAGAGTTTCAGTCAGGGTTTAGAGCTCATCATAGCACAGAAACAGCACTAGTAAAAGTCACTAATGATATTCTCATGGCCTCAGACAATGGACTTGTGTCTATACTGGTCCTGTTAGACCTCAGTGCTGCATTTGATACAGTTGATCACAATATTTTACTACAGAGGCTTGAAGATGATATTGGGATTACAGGAACAGCTGGTTTAAATCATATCTATCTGATTCCAGTTTGTAAATATAATAAATTAAAAAATATACAATTAATCTTCTTCATACCAAAGCTAGTCATGGAGTTCCTCAGGATTCAGTGCTTGGACCAATACTATTTACCTTATATGCTTCCATTATAGCAAAAAGAAACTGTCCAGATGAGCTGACTGAAAATGTTTGGATTTTATACCTGGAATACTGAGCATGGACTTTGGCATTATTGCAATGGTTTGTTATCTGGGTGTCCAAATACTTCTTTAAAACGTCGTCAGTTGATCCAAAATGCTGCTGCCAGAGTCTTAACTGGAGTTAGTGGGAGAGATCATATTTCTCCAGTTTTAGCTTCTCTCCATTGGCTCCCTGTCAAATCCAGAACTGAATTCAAAATCTTCCTTCTAACTTACAAAGCTCTCAACAACCTAGCTCCATCTTATATTACAGATCCTATTGCTCCATATTTTCCTAACAGAGTACTTTGATCTCAGACTGCAGGTTTACTTGTGGTTTCTAGAGTTTCCAAAAGCAGAATGGGAGGAAGATCTTTCAGTTATCAGGCTCCTCTCTTGTGGAACCAACTTCCAGTTTCTGTCCATGAGGCTGACACATTGTCCAGTTTGAAGACTGGGTTTAAGACTTTCCTTTTTGCGAAATCCTATAGTTAGGGTTGACTTGTTATGTTGCTATAGGTTTAGACTACTCGAGGACAAACTGATCTCATGTCCTTAAATTAATTGTTAAAATTGAATAGCTTTCATTTGATAGTATTTATACCTTAACATGTGATTCTCGACCTGCAATTGTGTATCTGTTCCTCCTTCCTGTCTCCTCAAACCCAGCCGGTCAAAGCAGTTGACCGCTTGTCCTGAGCCTGGTTCTGCTAAAGGTTTCTTCCTCAAGAGGGAGTTTTTCCTTTCCACTGTCACCTTCATGCTTGTTCAAGATGAGAGTTCAGTGATGGAGTTAAATTCAAAGCAGTCTGCTCCTCAGATAAATAATGTTAAATCATTATTTTTATATATGAATGTTTCTGTTGTGACCTGAGATGACTTCTGTTGTGACTTGGAGCTATAGAAATAAACTGAATTGAAGTGAATTGCTTTCATTCCTCTTTTCAAGTGCATGCCTCCTCCTCTCCACTGCACTTGATCCTACACAACTGATCATGGAGGTTTGACTAACCTGAAATGTTCAGAGTTTGCAGAGTTTACCCTCCGCTGTTCATTTAATCTCTTTGGATCAAGAAGCAGCAGCTAGTTCAGTTAAACTGGGTGTATGGACAGAAACCATTTTAGCTTGCAAACAATTAGCAGGAATGACATATTTGGTACACTTAGTTCTAAAAACAAACTATACGTAAATTTTGGGGAGACGTCAGGGTGACAGAACAGCCACTTTGCTGCACTTTGGCTTTCAGCAGCAGGTGATACTGTTTTTGCTTGTGTTCATTTGTCTGTAGCGTTAGTAAAATGTCATTCGTGGTTTTCATTTACATGGAGACGAATTGTAATTCCCCATCACTGAGCAGAAACCAGACCCTGAGCAGACTCTGCAGAGCTTTAAGGACTTCTTCAACTACTGAACTGTGTTTAAACAGTAACATCAAAGCAAATAGTAACTGAATTTAGACCTATATTGTGCATGCTAAACCCTGATTAAAATCTTAATGAGCAGTAAAAGAGTGCGTAACGGTGCACCTAATGCTCAGGTCAATATGTACCTCGATTAGAACAGAGTTTGACAGCAGGTACTAACTCTGCTGTCAAACTCAATTGTTCTGTCTTATTGGTCCCATTTGAACAGTCAGCAGCTTTCTGCAACACCAAACACAAAATAGATCAAATGTTCAACACAGCTGGACAGCAGGGATCATGAATAAATTGATAAATGCTATACAGTGATCCCTGGTTGCTCTCCACCACTACCACACATCATCAGGCAACATTTGGCAGCAGCTTTAAACAGGCAGATCTTCAGAGTCCTCACTTTCATCTGAACTACCCATCTTTGCTTTAAGCTGTAGTCTCTTCCTCTGCTCCTTTTGTGTACTGGCAGTTAGCAAACCGCAGAACTGAAACGGGCACCATGTCTAGACGGAAACCATGACAACCCGTACCCTCGGACTGCGTTCACACTGTAGGAAAAACTGACTCGGATCCAATTTTGCTCCTATATTTGACCCATATTGGATATTTTATGAAAATCTGAAGGTGACAAAACAAAAAAAAAAAAAATCAGAATTAAATTGATGTCTTCACCTATCAAACAGCAAACCAGTTGCCTCTTTTTAAATTTTTTAAATAACATTTGTCATGTCCAACACCTCTATATGGTACCCAGGTTTGTGTCTGACTGTATGGAACTCTAGCTAATAGGACTTAAATTAGAATGTGAACAAGCGGTACAATGATGTCCCTCATCTCTGAGGGGTTTGAATAATGAATGTTTGTAGTTTTGGAGATTATAGTTTTTCTGGATTGGAATTGAACAGAGAATAAAGTAAACCTTAATGTTTTTGGTACAATATATTCAAGTAGGAAGGAGTTACATTGTGGAGAAGAACAGAGGGAGTTTTTTTTTCCTGGTTGGAGGCAGAGCAGAGTGACACATTCTGGAAGGTGGAGGGAGACATTTTATCCACCATCAGGTGCAATGGAGAAGCCAGGGGTGGCCAATGGTGGCCTAGGTCCCATAGATTAATCTTTGACCACCTCAATCATTTGATGAAACTACTTTTAAGCAATATAAAAACTACACCGTTTCCTCATATGATCTTGGTGGTCGGTTTAAACATGTACATATTGGTAGCCATCTTGGATTTTGACATGGCAACCTCAATTTCAACAGAGGCCTCTTTTACACGTAGATGCAGCCACACACCTAACTGGAGGTCAGTACGTTGCTTATTGTTAAAATCATCATGCTCACAAAACAGACAGTACTTCCAGTTATATTCTACGCTCTGCAACAAAAAATAAAATAAAATAAAACATAACTGAGCATTAAGATCTTAGCGTGAACATTGTGTTCGTCTGGCTCCTGTCTCATCTCAACATGTACAGTTACCACAGTTTCCCATCCAGGTTGCAGGTTGGTTTAAAACATTACATAGTGTTAACTATTCAAAACAGAGCCTTGGTTTATTCAAATTTTGTTCTAAAACATGACTGTGGCAAACATCTAATTAGTCACTGGTATCTCAAACTCATCCTTTAAGTTGAGACGATTCAGTCTACTGGTTCTTCAACCATCTGCCCGACCTGTGAGGACCGACATGAACGTCATCTGTATTGGTCCACAACAATCCCCCTAGGGGAGGTGGAAGCAGAGCAGAGGCTGTTTTCAAAGGAAAATAAGTAAATTTTACAAGTGACCAACACAGAGAAAACTGTTCAACCCAAGTCCTCCAAAGTGTGGGAGCACTTCACAAAGATAAAAAATGAAACATGCAGCTTTGAAAAGTGACGACACGACACGGGAGAACCACGGAAATAAACGTAAACATGTCGGAGTCAAGAGGAGGATGAAGGAGCTGAACAGCTGATACAACTCATGTGTTGCAGGTGAGTCTCTACAATATTCTACATTTGTTCAGTTTCAAGTGACAAAATGTAACATCAGTCTCTCTGGAGCTGAAGTTGCTGCTTGTTTGTTTGTTTATTGATTAATGACAGTGATAGAGAACGTATGTTACTTTTTATTTAATTTAAATGATACAAGCAGTGTTTAAATGTCATTTATAAATAAATCTAACTCAAAGATAATAATTTAATGGTTAAGCTTCAACTTTTAATTTGCTGGCAAAGTCTGAAGACACAGCATGTATGGCAGGATGAATTGCATTTAAACAGGAATTAAAGTAATTTACAAACCAGATTCCAAAAAAGTTGGGACACTAAACAAATTGTGAATAAAAACTGAATGCAATGATGTGGAGGTGCCAACATCTAATATTTTATTCAGAATAAACACAAATCACAGATCAAAAGTTTAAACTGAGAGAATGTATCATTTTAAGGTAAAAATCTGTTGTTTCCAAATTTCATGGCATCAACAAATCCCAAAAAAGTTGGGACAAGTCCATTTTTACCACTGTGTGGCATCCCCCCTTCTTCTTACAACACTCAACAGACGTCTGGGGACAGAGGAGACCAGTTTCTCAAGTTTAGAAATAGGAATGCTCTCCCATTCATGTCTAATACAGGCCTCTAACTGTTCAATCGTCTTGGGCCTTCTTTGTCGCACCTTCCTCTTTATGATGCACCACATGTTCTCTATAGGTGAAAGATCTGGACTGCAGGCTGGCCATTTCAGTACCCGGATCCTTCTCCTACGTAGCCATGATGTTGTGATTGCTGCAGAATGTGGTCTGGCATTATCGTGTTAAAATTGCAGGGTCTTCCCTGAAAGAGATGATGTCTAGATGGGACCATATGTTGTTCTAGAACCTGAACATAGTTCTCTGCATTAATGGTGCCTTTCCAGACATGCAAGCTGCGCATGCCACAAGCGCTCATGCAACCCCATACCATCAGTGATGCAGGCTTCTGAACGGAGCGTTGATAACAACTTGGGCTATCCTTGTCCTCTCTGGTCCGGATGACATGGCGTCCCAGTGTTCCATAAAGAACTTCAAATCGTGACTCATCTGACCACAGAACAGTCTTCCATTTTGCCACACTCCATTTTAAATGACCCCTGGCCCAGTGCAAACGTCTGAGCTTGTGGAGCTTGCTTAGAAATGGCTTCCTTTTTGCACTGTAGAGTTTCAGCTGGCAACGGCGGATGGCACGGTGGATTGTGTTCACTGACCATGCTTTCTGGAAGTATTCCTGAGCCCATTCTGTTATTTCCTTGACAGTGGCATTCCTGTTTGAGGTGCAGTGATGTTTAAGGGCCCGGAGATCACGAGCATCCAGTAGAGTTTTACGGCCTTGACCCTTACGCACAGCGATTGTTCCAGATTCTCTGAATCTTTTGATGATGTTATGCACGGTTGATGATGATAACTTAAAAGTCTTTGCTATTTTACGCTGGGTAACACCATTCTGGTATTGCTGCACTATCTTTCTGCACAACAATGGTGGAATTGGTGATCCTCTTACCATCTTGGCTTCTGAGAGACACTGACACTCTGAGAAGCTCTTTTTATACCCAATCATGTTGTCAATTGACCTAATTAGTGTCAAGTGGTCTTCCAGCTGTTCGTTATATGCTCAATTTCCTTTCTCCAGCCACTTATTGCTACTTGTCCGAACTTTTCTGGGATTTGTTGACACTGTGAAATTTTGAATCAACATATTTTTCCTTTAAATGTTACATTTACTCAGATTAAACTTTTATCTGTCATGTATGTTATATTACGAATAAAATTTTGACATTTGCCATCTCCACATCACTGCATTCAGTTTTTATTCACAATTTGTTTAGTGTCCCAACTTTTTTGGAATCCGGTTTGTATTACATCTACTCAAATGTGTGTAATTAAGTATTTTATATATATATTTGTGTGTGTCTGTGTGTGTGTTTAATTGCGCTTTTAGCTACTTTTGCCTGAACTGAACACTGTTAGTAAAACAAAACATTTCTTGAGTTGCTGTAAATTATGCTATAATACATATTTACTCTGATTCCAGAAAACAACAACAAACAACAACACTTCATGATGGACACCACAGCAGCAGCTGTCTTCACTAAAAACATCCTGAACATGATCGTCACTGACACGAGGCCTCTGTCGATGGTTGAAGACGAAGGCTTCACTACAATAATCCACACTTTTAATCCAGGTTACAATAATCCACACCTTTAATCCAGGTTACACTCTTCCCTCAAGGACACATTTTACAAAGTAGCTACATATTGTGCAGGTATAAAGACACATTTGTATATATTTTTGTGTACATTTATTTTTTAAGCTATTTGACTAACTTTTATTTTTTATTATTCAATATTTTACTAACAGAATAGTCAAATAGCAACCTGTTTTTTGTGTGAATTGCTATGTCAGTCAAATGTTCAATTTTGGAATAAAGGGGTAGAAATTAAAACGTATTTTTTCCCCAATTCACAGATTAATCGAAAAAATAATCGGCCGATGAATTGATTATTGAAATAATCGTTAGTTGCAGCCCTAGTTGTTTTTAATGAAAGAAAAGTCTTTACTTCTCTTTTTCTCCCTGACTGAACTGACAAATTTGTGCAGAACACCTGGTTTTTAAAATACTCAAAACTTAGCCATATTTATCAAAACTGCATTTTCCCCCCTCTATAATTATTTTTTTCTAAACACACTGGCACATTTCCATGTTTCTGCAGGTTCTGGTCTAAGACCATTAAGCCCACTGACGGTCCCCAAAGTGTGATCTTACCTGCTTGTGGTTCAGAGCAGCTTGCACCGACGGCCGGTTCTCCATCTGCTGGGCCAGCCGGCGATTGCGTGCGCTAGCCAAATGCTGCTGCTGCATGGTGGCTCGAATGCTTACTGCAGTGGGCTGCTTGTTCTTCAGCATGTTAGTGAAGCTTTAGAGGTGGGAGGGAAGAAGAGGAAGGAAGTAAAAGAAGGGGACGGGATACACAGAGCAGGAGGAGGAGGCAGGGTTCCACATCAAGTCATTTCTCATTATACAGGCGTCGCTACAAAGACTTCTGTGGCTCTAAAGTCACGCTGCTTCACTCGCCGAGACTTTTCTCTCTCATATGACAATGCTAAATTATCTTTGTTTGCATTTAGCATGTTTTAAAGGAGCACAGGTAAGGTGAAGAAAGAAACAAGAGTGCAGAAACAGTTTCAAGAACAGAAAGTGAGAAAAGAATCCAGGTGAATCTGCCACTTACAGGCCTCGAGCTGAAGGACCAGGACATCATCGCGAAGCAGCCGAGGCCTTGGACACGAGGCGCCACTCAGCCACTTACAGCAAGGACCGTGACTTTAAAATACCCACTGAGTGAGTGGTGCTGGTGCAGGGAGGTAGGAAGGGGAGGTGACTGGGGATGATCTTCAGTCACGTCCAAGCTAGGGCTGAGTATTTGGGTCATGGACAGACTTCAGCAGAGAGAAAAGGAATGAGAGAAGAGAGAGGATTGTGCTTCAGCTCCACATCGTTGAGAGAGAAACATCAGAAGCAGTAATGATAAGGAGATGCACCATCTCCCTGCTCCTTGGAAGGGCACATACTTATAGAGTGGTGAGTACTGTGTGAGCAAGGAGCAAGCCGGTCTAGGCTGCATAAGACCGAGGTCTGGTCCAGCATGGGGTTAAAACTGCTTACCAAGCTTGACCACTACCCTGTCCCCTTGTCTACATGTGTGCACTGCTTACACAAAGACTTAGGCCTGGACAGAGCCTCTCTGTCGGACACTGCTGGGACTCGGAGTCCTGCTGGTGAGGTAATAAATGAGGATAGGGCCTGCAGAGTTGAGTGAGCAGTGCACACACAGGGAACAGCCAGAACTGCATCCATTTTGTGTCCGGTCCCCCACAGCAGCCTTCTGTAGAGAGGATTACAATGATAGAAGGCCAAGGGTGGCCTTTGCTTCTGGTGACTAACTGCTGACAGGGTGCGTGGCGCCTCACCGCTCGTTCAGAGACACTTTGGTGGTGCTTTTCAGCACAACTTTTTGGGACGAGGCAGCACTCATTTTGAGAAACTGATTGTAGAAACCTGAAAAAAAAAAAGAAAAGAAAAATAGAAAAGGTTAAAAAATAAATAAAGATTAGTTTTAAACAATATGTGTCAAATATCTATAAATTATTTTCTAACAGCTTTATGTGTCCAATCTCTGGTCCAGCAGAAAGGTGGGTCAATGTTTGCCAAGTCCTTAATGTTAACAAGTAACTACACCCTGGAGAGGGACACAGAGTTAAACACAATGCAGACTTTCTCACATTTGATGTAGATTCATTAATGTTTTGCCTTTTTTTTTTTTTATCTCAAAATGTCATTGTGGGTACAATAGTATGGTTTTATGATCTGTTTGCTTCAAACATCATAAAATTCAAAACTGTGCATAAAACCTGGATATTTATGACCCTCTAAGATCTGTCAGTTCTGTTTATCCCAGACTCGGTTCTCTGGGGCAGCATCTTGATCACGGAGGTCCACACATCCCTCCCCACAGCCGCCTCTTCTGGAAAGACTCCAAGGCATTCCCAGAACAGCTGAGAGACATACCCTCACCAGGGTGTCCTGTGTCTTCCCTGGTTTCTCCTCCCTGTCGGACAAGTCCAGAACACCTCCCTATTGGGGGTGGGTGGGTGGATGTTGTGGTGCAGAGGTAGGGAAGCTGACTTGGGACCAGAAAGTTGCAGGTTCAACTCTCCACCATGCCTACATGTCATGGTGTCCTTGAGCAAGACACTTAATCCCCAACTGCTCCCTGGGTGCTTACATAGCTGCCCACTCTCCACCTGGATGTTTCCCAGGTGTGATGGGTTAAATGCAGAGAACTAAATTCATCATTGTACAGAAACATAGTGATGACAACAGATGGCACTTTGTTCATGAGACGTTCAGGGTCCATCCTTGCCAGATGTCTGAACCACCTCAACAGTCCTCTCTGGATGTAGAGGAGCGGAGACTCTACTCTGAGTCTCTCCTGGAGAACTGAACTTCTCACCCCATCTCTACGGGAGAGTCCAGCTACCCTGCAGAAGAAACTCATTTAGACCTCCTGGATCCAGTTCATTCAGTCTCTACTCAGAGTTCATGACCACAGGTGTGGGTAGGAACGTACACCGGCCAATAAACAGACAGGTCCCCACAACAGACCAGCACAGAGTCCACAATACTGCAGAAGCTGCAACGACCTGTTTGTTCACATTCCATTCTTCCCTCACTGAGAACAAAACCCTGAGATACTTGAACTCCTCCACTTGAAGCAGAAGCTTACTCCCAACCTGAAGTAGACAGTCCACCATTTTTTACAACTGAGGACCATGGGAGGTTCTGATCCTCATCCCAGCAGCTGTGAACTGCTCCAGTGAGAGCTGAAGATCACAGCACGATGCAGACAGCAGAGAAGGAATCCTGAGGTCACCAAACTGGACTTCCTCTGTCCCCGACAGAGAAATTATGTCCTTAAAAGTTATGAACAGAATTAGAACATGTCCAGATGACATGATTTAACCATTTTTGTTGACCAGATGCAGTATTCCCCCTAGATAACTTGCCATGGCGGGGCGGTCATCTCATCCGTGATTTTTGTCGGGGGTGCGTTCAGCGCGAGGTTTCAGCATGAGGGAAGAGGCTGCCTTTAGCTTTTTAGCTAGCACACCTGGATTGCGAGCCGCTAGTTTAGCGTTACGTCAGTGCCGACAGGTGGTTTGGGATGGGGTTCAGTAGACATGGCGCTAGGTTCAGTTGATGGGGTGGGGCGCCCCGCCTGTATAATGGTAGGGAAAACACTGAAGCTGCATATCATTTTAACCATGACGTAAATATGTCAATGATTTTAACGAGTGGCGTAAATTAGCGACATGAAAATCAGCAGAGATACAGCACATACTTTTCTAAGTAAATTGAAAGTTCTTATTCATAAACGGAATTATACCAGTACATTTCCCTTAATTTAGCATTTTCAATGGCAATTTGTGTGACCCAGAACAATTCCTTTTAGTGCATGAATAAATGAACAACACTAAGGATTGGCTTCCGTAACAGATCAGGGAATGACAACTTGTCCTGGGCTGCGCAGCGCGCTGTTTATACCGACAGGTTTTGTGTGTGTGTGTGTGTGTGGGGGGGACGACGACAGAGAAACAGCTGCGTGCTGTTTGCACTGACAGTTTTAGAGCAGAGGTGGGGGAGAGGAGAGAGACACATGAGCCGTGCGCTATGGCTGGGCCATATCATATCGTTCACGATAATACCGGTAAAAAAAGCTTGCCCAGGCAAAATCATGATATGCTGATTTCATGACATAATACGTCAGGGTGCCCCGCCCCGTTAACAGAACCGAGCATGTTGAACAACCACACCGAACTGTGTGCACCCCCACACCTGTCGGTACTGGTGTGACACTAATTAGCTGCGCGCGATACTAGCTAGCTAAAATGCTAAAAACAAAACGCGCGGCTCAGCTGTCTCTCCCTCCCCCGCTCTAAGCTGCCTGCCACTCGTTGTTTTTTCTCCCCACCCCGCCCTGAGATGCCGGTGGGGGCTGCATCTCCCCCGCTCTAAACTGCCGGTACAAACGCGTGCAGCTAAACTGTCTCTCGTCCACAGTCCATGGACTAAGAACAGAGTCATGTGATGAAAGACAGAGCATCAGAGAAATGAATCATTCCTGCAGGAACAGATGAAGCTGAAACTCCACAAGCTTCAGGGTCAGCTGATCACCTTGTTACAAGTTCTGGAAGTTATAGCTCATTTAAAGACAACATATATTTTTGTTGTATGTTACATTTATGCTCAACAGAACTTAAGCTTCATTTTATTTAGTTATTTTAGGAAACTGCACCTGCATTTTAGTTTTTGTGGTGGATTTATTGTTCTATATTTTGTGCAGAATGTTTCAATCTAAATAACTGAAGGATCATTTGTTTTTTTTTATTTTTATACTTGGAGACTGAATACTAAAATTAATTTCAGTAAAATTACCCCTTGTTTTTTTAATTTGTAATACTGCAAAGCGACAGGTTAAGTTAATTTTGTCAAATAAATAACTATGATTACTGTTTTATTAAATATCGCGAAATGTATCGTTATCGTCAGAATGCTCTGAAATATCACAATATTATATTTGAGCCATATGGCCCACCCTACCTTGCGCCGTTTGTACCAACAGTTTTTGAGAGTGTGTGTGTGTGTGGGGGGGTTCAGCGTGAGTGTTCAGCATGAAGGAAGAGGCTGCCTTTAGCTTTTTAGCTAGCACACCTGGATTGTGAGCTGCTAGTTTAGTGTTACGTTATTGCCGACAGGTGGTTGGGGTAGGTAGACAGGGCGCTCGGCTCTGTTGACGGGGCAGAGCGCCCCACTTGTATAATGGTAGGGGAAACTGCGATGACACGACTACAGTCTTCTGCAGCAGCGTGTCCTGGTGCCCTGTGTATTCATCAGCACCCTTATGATTGAACATGGTGTTGGACAAACCATGACTAGCACAGAAGTCCAACACTGCTTGGGTTCTGATCAGAGGCCTTTCCAGGTCACGCCGTCGTTAAGGACTCCAAGAAGGCTGGGTACTTAGAGCTGACAGGGCCAGGCTTGAGATGTCCGTCCACACGAAGACACTGAGAAACTACCCTCTCATCTATGGGGGAAAACTCCAACACTCAGGCTCCAAGCCAAGGGGCTAAGAGTAACTCCACACATAATGGTGCCTTTCACCATGGAACACTCCAGACTGGGATAAGGTCCATCTCCTCTCAAAGATATTGGGTCCAGAGCTCAGTCAAGGAGTCGTCGAGGTGAGCCCAACAATATCTAGTCAGTGCCTTTCAAACTCACAAGCTCAGGTTTCCACCAGAGAGGTTACGTTCCCAAGAGCCAGCTTTGATAAAACAAGGTCAGAGCACCAAGGCCCCTGCAGCTACCACACATGGACCCATGCACCGGACCCATATGGACCCTCCTGCAGATGATGGGCCCACATGAAGGGGCCATGTTGCTCCTTCAGGCTGGGTAGAGGCCCTGACACCTGGCTAAGATCACTGAGGCACACAAACTTTTACCAAGATACGGTGGTAAAAGTAGAAATATACAAAAATTCATTCAACCTTTATTTGTACAGGTTATTCCCATTGAGCCTCAGGGACTCAATTACAAGAGAGACCGGATATAAATATATTCACATTGTGTTAAAATACATGTTTAAATGGAGAAGCGGGGTGTGTTAGTTTCTAGATGCCTTCTATTGAATCTTTTTCCAACCGGTTTGAGCAACCTAGTGTGATCCGATCCAACAGAACGCGAACCTTTGTTCCAGACGGGAGAAAAATCAGCAGAACTACAGCTTATAAAGATAAGAATAAATAATTTAATCAATGGTACTATCGTGAAGGACACGATTCTTCAAGCATCTGTCCAGTTATACAAAAACATTCCCGTAAACTTCATTTGACTTTTCCTAAAATAACTCCAGAGTAACGTTTTGACTCGGGATTACGTTACTCTGAGACACTACAAGTAGCGTGACTTCTCAATAAAGACAAGTCAGCTGCCCAAACTTTCTCGAACAATAACGTTAAATCATGTTTTTATAATGTGTCTAAATATATTCAAACCGCCTCACAAGGACACTTACTGTGGATTTTGCGTCGAGAAAATCCGTAGTTTTCGGGTAGCTAGGTTTAGCTTCAACAGCTAGCTCCGCCGTGACCGTGGGTGTCCTCTTTAATGTTTTATTTATAAAGAAACTCTAACAGGGCAGATTTATATATATAAAAAAAGTTCTATATAAAGTAAGAAACAGACTTTAATTAGCTCTAAGTTGTAGTCTTGAAGAAACGCTGTCTGCTAAGACACGACTATCAAAACGTCTAAGATGGAGCTGCTGGGGAAGAAAATGGAGAATAGCGTATGTAGCCTCTGCTGCCTTCAGGTATCCTCGGAAATAAAACTTCTTCATAAGAATGGAAACTAGAGGATGTTGAAACCAGGATTCACGCGAGTTTATCGTGGAAAAAGAATCAATATTATAAAAAATATCTTATGTATTTGAATTAAATTAAGACGAAAACTTGTTTTCTAAAAACTCATGACTTAATTTGTTTAATGCTTTGTTCGTAAAAGACAAAAATATATAATTTCTACATTTTCTGCCTTTCGGTAAACTACGAATGTTAACGATAACAAACCCAACCAGACTAATTACGTTCAATATCTGATTGCTGCTGATTGTTTCTCCTCTTATTTTTCCTGTCAAAAGTCGGACATTGGAGTTTTACGACGTCTTCGAATGCAGCGTAGTGACTTGACGTCGTGACGTCGAGGAACGTAACTTCCGGATCGTTTTGTTAAAAAACTTTATTTAAAGTACAACATTACAAAGACAGATTTCATTTAAACCACTGACTAAACAGAAGCCGGGGGAGATTATTCAAATAAACACATTAAATAAGGTTCACAATAATATGTTTTTATATCTTTATGTTATTAGCGTGAGACATGTTTACAATGTACTGTTCAGTGTCCTTTTGGAAAGCCTGAAAAGAGTGACTAAACTTTGATTTGTGTATGTGGTATTTCCCTAAGAGTATAATTAAATTTATGATATATAGTTCTTTCTGTTTTTGCTTTTGACATCATTGACTCCAACAGTACATTGTT